TTCATCTTCATACATTATAACATATTCTGGCTGCGTTACCAGCGTGGTTGGTCCTTGTAGTGTAGTGGTTAACACATCGGACTAGAATACCGAAGACGTGGGTTCGAATCCTGCCAAGGGCATTTGATATTTTTCTCTTATTGACTCTAGTGGGTACGCTTGAACTGTTTTGACTGTAAATATTCAAAAGTAGAATAATGAGTAGAACAAATAAAAATAGGATTTCCTGGAAGTAGAGACAGCTGCAGTCGGATACTTTGGATATCGTATTGCCGCTGATGATCATGAGGTAGTCGACATTGGTAAGAAAACTCCGTATTTTACTCCTTGCCAGGACCGAAGGCAGTGTTCTTGTTCTGTGGAAAGACTGATACTAAGTTTACTGTAAAGATCAACTCCGCGAATCTTTGATTGAGAATGGCATGGGAAATACGAAAATGGATCGTAGTCCATATTCATTATATCAATCTCTACATCATGATCTTTGTCATGGGTTTTGGATATTACCCTTTTTTACTTACCATTTTAGGATATGATAAAGGCACAGTTATTCGACAACCACTGGAGCCTGCTTGCCAAAATAAGTGTGCGGTTGGTGTTCCTCGCTCGTCTGTTGACAAATTTGGCTCCTCTTTCGACTCGACACAAGTATTGTTTGTGCATTTTTCTGGTTACAGTTTATCGCTCAACTCTTCAGATGCTACAGATATTTTAGATCCTCTAAACTTGGTTTGGGTCGAGAACAATGAAGCACCATTCTTATCTTTTGATTTGGGCTTTAATGTATATTCCTTTACGACTTTATCTAGAGTTTTACATCATATGAAAGTTAAAGTGGAGGTCGTGCCGATCAACTGCTTGCAAAACATGAACCACAGTTGTGTGGTAGCAAACTTAGCCAGAACCTTTCTGAGAAACGTAACTAAAGAAAGAGGTGTATTATGTTACGCCGTCAATGACTCTAATACAGTGAACTACAGATGCTGCAAAGGAAACGTTGAAACAAAGCAAGTTGAATGTGATATTCCAGCTGTTGTTAGCACGGAGATGGTTGGCATTTTCACAGCGGTAACAATAGCAGCTTTAATCGCTTTTTTGTGTTTTCCCGTTATTTTCAATATTGTACCGGATAAAAAGGACTCGGAAACTTTGCGTTCCAATACTCAAATCCACAATCCTCTTTCTCATCTTGTAATCTATACCGTCCAAGCACTTCGACATTATTCAACTGAATATTATTGGTTTAACGTGCTAAGAAAGTTTCTTATTGTTCTCGCTCTGCCGACATTATATTATATTGACTATGGTCTCCAATATCATACTATGAACTATGACATACCGAAGATGTTTAACGACTACGTGAAAAATGTTTGGGTTGTATCTACCATTGCCAGTGGTACTTTTTTGTATAAAAATATTGCTTCAAATACAAGCATTTCTGGTACGGTGTTAATCATGTACTCAGTATTTGTGATAGCGGTTTCTTTTTCTCCAAGATCTGAAAGACTGGATGTTCGGTCCGTCTCGTGGGCCGAAAAAATACAGGTTCTCCTCGAGAAAGAAAAGCATATTAAAGTAAATTGGTTGGAACCATGTGTTTGGACTAAGGACTTCTTTTATTTCTTAGGATCGCTGTTTGAGAAAGTAAAAAACCGTGAAGGGTCATTGATTTCACGGATTGCTATTCTGCCTGGGAGTCTCGTTCTATCGCTGCTATCTCCTGTTGTCACTATATCATTTTTCATTTATTATACTGTGTATGTTTCACCTTTAGGCAAAGTGATGCTTACATTTGTCTACCATGGTATTTTGTATTGCACTGAGCGGTATGAATTATCCTCTAATTTTCTTTTCGGTCTCCTTCCCTATGTAGCATTTCCCTTATTCTCTTTTATGGCATTTAGTCCAATGTTTTATAGATCCTTGCTATTATCAGCAAGATTGATTGTGTATCTTTGGATGGGACTTGTTGCCAGCAAAGATTACTATTTTCCACGCATTGCATTTTATTCTGTCTCGGTGTACTACTCTTGGAACTGCTTGAGTTCGGTAACTAGTAGATACCAAATCCTACTCAAACAAACATTCGAAAAGTGCAAAGAGCATCAAGAAAAACAKCCARACGGWAGGAAAGSWTTGACAWTKGATGASRAAGGAGTGCCAAGAATYTCTTCWRAACTTTTTSAGCRKGTTATCGRTGAGATTCTACCAAGAAGTGAAGTCTACACCATTATGATCCTAAAATTAACTATCATTATTTTATTTCTTTATTTGACCTTTTCGTCAATTCTGGTTTACGGAAAATCCAATTTAGATGAGTCAACAAAAGCACTGGCCCTCTTGTTAACTGCACTTTTGCCTAAAATGATCGAGTTATTTGGTGAAGGGAGTTCCTACCGGCCGTTGTGTGAAATGGAAAACGCATGCCGAGTCGAGAAGATCGTAAAAGATTTCTCGAGTTTAATTAATGTTACAAGTTCTGAGGACGGGACATCAATGAGGCATGATGAGGAACAACCACCTTCGAACCCTCCTGGTGACCAACCTCCTACAACAAGCATAAACTATGCAATGGAACTTCATCAACTAACTTCGGAGGAGTGTCCTGTTCCCAAATCAGGCGATTCTAACAAGGACAAAAGCAGAAACTCAAGTGAAGGTAACGGTAGGGGAGACATGGAAGTGGTGGTAATTGATCAAACACCAAGTACTGAGGAAACCCCATTACTGGGGCATCAAAGGAAAAGAGACAGTAACGCTAAAGTATAATGCAGGACCACAGCAAGACTGAAAATGGAAGAAAGGACTGTCAGATGTAAGTGAGTATCAACGTATATGCAAACTTGGAAGACCTCTTCTTTTCGTATCAATCCTGAATTTTGTGAACATTTTATGCTTCCATGATATACTGTATAATGCTGAGTACACCTTCAGATGGCTGCAATGCTTCCAGGTGCGTGTCATAATTAAAAATAGAAAGTTCATTATTTACAAGGGGTAAAGGAGGGTTGTTTTACCAAGCTCAAGGAAGAAAAAAAGGAAGAAACAAAATACAAAAACACTCGGATACGTTAACACGAACGTAACGTTTCCATTCATTTGGACTACTATAAAATTCATAACCTCCGCAAAATTATCATCTAAATAATACATGTTCCCTGATAAGGGAGATAAAGGAGGTATAATAAAAATCCTCGGTTTATTTGCTTAATTAAGGGAGAATGGTGGCCGTTTTCTCCATTGTATTCATATTTTGAACCTTGAGGTCTTCGGTGGCCTGCAAGTGGGAAAATAACATAAGAGACAGTCTGCTATCTCGCATAAGTTCAAATTCTAGTTATGTATATACATATCTTACTACTGAGTAAACAGTCTGCCTTTGGACAAGAGAAACTTTAACGCAGTCAGTCATTGTATTACTATAACAA